TTTTTTCAATAATTGGAAGCAAATTGGAAATACATATACTTTAATAATTTTTAACTATTTTAGTTTATCAAATATAAAAAACCCCTCACTGCATGTCAGCTGTACCTTCAGCAAACCTACTAATATGTGCAGCAGGTGGAATTTTATGAACATTTATGAGCGTCAAAATTTGTGAATCTGTCAAATATTTGACTTTGTGTCCCAAATGACTAAAATTATAATATAAATGAAAGCAATCCCCACTGTGTTGAGCGAGAACACTTCTCTTTCTGTTCAGAGGTAGCCAGAATGAACCACCAACTATTCTGGCATATTTTTTATGCAGCGGATGCCCTTCCAGCCGCAACCCAGTACTGGGAAACACCCATACACACTCATTCAAACACATACACTACGACCAATTTAGTTTATTCACTTCAAAACCAAAGCACATGGAGGAAACCCACACAGACGCAGGGAGAACATGCAAACTCCATACAGAACTGCCAACTGACCCAGCCAGGACTTGAAGCGACCTTCTTGCTGTGAGGTGACAGCACTAATTACTAAGCCACCATGTCGCTCCCTGAAACAGGACATTTGAATGTAATTTAGGCAATTTGAGAGTCAAAAAACATGGATGCAAAAAAAAACTTAATACCTGTGGATGTGGTTTCAATGAGGAAGATGAAACGTTATGTACAACATTAATCACATAGAACAAAGGATGTCACTACTAAGAAAACACTGTAGTTCACTATATATTTGTAAAACTCTGAACTGTGTTTCCGTTTGTTGTGGTTCAAGTTTTTTTTAGACGTTAACTTTTATTTACTAGACAAAATTTAAAAATAACTGGATTTTGTAACGTTCATATGGTATATACAATAGAGTGCAAGGTGAGGATTATGCAACTCCCTATTAAGAGAAATCATCATTATTTCATAATTTGCATTCATTTAATTGGAATTAAATTAACATAGACTGACTGAGCAGTTTCAGTTTAGTTTTTCATAATATAAAGAAAATTATCATTGTTCATTTCCAACATGTCTAAACTGTATAAAGTGGTTAAAAAAGTGTTTTAATTCACTGGGGTTCAGTGTAGTTTTGGACAACATTCATTTTCATTTTGTAGATTAATAACTGTGGAAACAGTCAGTAAAAAATCTGACAAGAAAGCCATATAGGTTTGGATCAACATGAAGACTATGAGGAATTTGACTAATAAGTGATCCAGCTCATTATGTCCATATTGTTGCGGTGATTCTCAACAGAGAAAAACACACACAAACTCTATGACACACACACATTAACTTAAGTTACAAATGAATATGATACCATCACATTCACCCACTCAGATGCTCTTCCCTCCCACTTCCACTGTATCACACACACACACACACACACACACACACACACACACACACACACACACACACACACACACACACACACACACACACACACACACACACACACACACACACACACACACACACACACACACTTATGCAGGATCCCAGCTTTCATCTTGCCCCTGGGCATATGGCTGTTCAGAGGGGCTGTCAGCAGCAGTTTACCGTGATCAGCTACATCAAACTCATCAGATCTGTCTGCGCTCGCTGCCGGGCTTTGAGCTCAGCACAACCAGCCCCAAGAACAGAGCACCACCATAAATAACGCCATCCTTAGAGAGTTATGCAACACGAGGCGAATTAGATCCTGAGGTGACGATGCTCTGATGGAGAATAATGCATGCTGTCTGCTGCTTGCTTTCCGATTGATTTGTATCGAAACAGAGGAGGAAATGGATGCTATACTGAAGTTCACACTGAGGTGAACCTTAAAAGACACGTGTTCCTTTACATTGGAAAAGCATATGAAAGGAAAAATAATACACAGTATTTGAATTTTTTATATTGGTGGGATGCTTTCAGTAAAAAATGTGCAAAGAGAATAAATGCTGAGATTTCAATTTGTACTGACAACAATTCTAAATTTAAGTGTATAAACACAAAGTTACAGTATAATGCGTCAAAAATAAAGGTTTTGAAATCAAATCATTTGAAAATAGATTTTTGTAAGTGTTAATGACATTTTTATTAATCTAAAAATCTTTTTACACCATAAACTATGTTTACTACTAGATATTGCTTGACGCTATTTGCAGGTTTAGCATGCTGTCCCAGGAGAAAACGCTGAGCTTGGAGATAATTGAGCCCAGGGCTTCTGCCTGGTCAATAAGCATATAAGGGGGTCTGAGATCAGGTAGGATTTGAGAGCTCCTACTGGTAAAGTGAGGAAAAGGAGGTGATGGGGTGGAAGGAGTGATTCTTTCAAAACGTAGGTAATGTAGTAAGGCAAAATCTGTCTATTTATTGTAGACTTGAATCAATCTGATTATTACTGATTACAGATGAGGGTCTAGCCATAATCAATCACATCATGTGTTCCTCTCAAAATTAGTTTGCAAAACTTGTAAAACTGTGTTTTTGAAAGGTTCTAAGAATGTTAAAGGATATTCAAGGAATCCATCATATCAATAAAGAACCATTGTTTCAAAGAGTGTATAATTTTGCAAGACCTGAAGTTCCTATTCAGGAGACATGGTGTGCTTTCAGTTGATTTGGATTAGAACAAAATAGGTACATTCATACTTTTGATTCAGTTAAAAAAAAAAAGAAGACATTTTAGCGTTGGATTAAAGATTGTCCTTGAAAATGTCTTATGCTCACAAAGGCTTCAAATATTTCATAAAATAAAAATACAGTAACTTTTTACTGTCTGGGACACAAAGTTAATGTAACTCCAATCTTCAGTGTCACCTGATGCTTTAGAAACTGATTTGGGCCTCAAGGAAAATGTATTAACATCTATGTTACAATACGCTATGTGGAAACCATGCTGCATGTTTTACATGATCATTAAAAGGAAGTTCAAAAGAATTTTAGAAATTTAGAATTTAACTTTCTAAATTTTAGCATTTTAGAAAGATTTTTGTATGCTATAGAAATAGTGGGTCAGTGACAGCAAGAAGGTCACTCGTTCAAGTTCTGGCTCGGCCAGTTGGCATTTTCTGTGTGGAGTTTGCTTGTTCTCCCCATGTTGGCGTGGTTTACCTCTGGGTTAGGGATGGAATGATTATAATTTTGGTTCTCTGATTGTAGTATAAGTAAGAATTCACGGTTTCACGTTTATCATGATTATTATGCATTTATTAATTTCAAAACATCACTAGTTTAGAAAATCATGTGAAAACTCCTTATATTTTAAAGTATTATTTATTGCTGCTCAGTAACCAATTATTACAGTACAAATAAAAAAAATAAACAAACAATAATCCTTTTCTTTTTGGACTTAAAAATAAATGAAAACAGTGTTTGGCTTTTAAACATAAGTAATAATTTTACACTGATAAAAAATGACAGAACAACGAATAAACATAAAAAAAACAATAAATGTTTTGTCTAATGTAAATCTAAGCTACACATTAGTTTAGTATTTCCCTTTTAAAAAGTACAAATGTAGTCAAAGGCTGCTGAACCTCTCTCTGAAAGGCACTTTTGATCAACTATATTACGAACATGTTTAGTATTTTCATTTAGTATTTTTTTTTCTTCTTTGGGGTAGAAATGTGTATATTTCATACAAAGTGCAAAAGACACAACATATGAACGGCCCTTAGTTAATAGCCTCAGCCATAGTAAATGCAGTGTGCGTGCGTATTAGTCTCGGTGTATAAGCTCGGAACATTAAACTAGCGCACAGTTGGCATAACTTTGTTAAGTTGCAGCAGTTTTGTTCCATGCAGAAACAGTGAAGCTAGTTAATCATTGCATCCCTACTCCAGGTGCTCAGACTCAGACTCAGCTTTAGGTGCTCCAGTTTCCCCTACTGTCCAAAGACATGCGCTGTAGGTGAATTGGGCAAACAAAATTGGCCATAGTGTATGAGTGTGTAAATGCGAGTATATGGGTGTTTTCCAGTGCCGGGCTGCAGTTGGAAGGGCATCCGCTGTATAAAACATATGACGGAATAATTGGCGGTTCATTCTGCTGTGGCGACCCCTGATAAGTAAAAGAATAAGCCGAAGGCAAATAAATGAATGAAAGAATGATATAGAAATGTATAGAAACATTCAATTGAAATATTTTTTCAAAACTATTTCATTGCCTAATAAAAGGCTTCAGTGAGCAACATTGTCTGCCAAGCTTCATCGCAGCTCTCCATCAATGTGTTATAAACAATATCAAAAAGCTTTCTAGCATAATTCAATAATTAACAAGATACCCGACTCAGAAACTCCGCGCTTGAAGAAAACATGCTTCTTCTCATTATGACATCCTGGTGTCATTTCTCAGCGTTCATCTCATAAATACGTGATTATTGTATTAAGGCAAGCGATAATAATCTGCTGAAATTTCATATTTTTGCCACAAACTAACACACCCTAGCATGCTCACAACAACCCCAGAAGTGTGCACGTTTCCATCAGCAAATGACATAGGGGTCATACTTTTAGCGAATAAGAGAATGCAAATTGGAATGCAACCAATAATTCTTTCTCTCCACGGACAAACAGAAGGCTTACACACACATACACACACAGACACACACCTATCTGTTCCATCATCCGGTACAGGTGCATATTGTTATGGCCTACAGGGAGATCTGTGTGGTTTTTTAATAATCGAAATCCTCCTCAGGTGTTTCATTTCAAAACTTTGGTTTGCATAATTATCTTATGTTGCATAACCCTCGTCTGATTTCACAGAGACATCTGTCATCGTTTCGCATTGCCTTAGCAGCAGAAGCTTGATTATTAATGTCTGCTATGCCTGTGATCTCGCAAACGGTGGAGGCTCGGCTTCGTCACTCTTTTTTTGTTTGCAATGACTGTCCACGTATTCTTCTGTTGACCATTGTCACTCTCTTTTGTTTTTGTTTGTTTCCCTCCTCATCCCTCTTTCTTTTTGCATGTCCCTTGCACTGCCTGTGTTTGTTGTGGGCGAATGAAGAACTGGAATCATCGGGCTGTCACTCAAGTAGGCCTTTCATCTCAAAACTCGCCGTTTGATTGATATGCTGTGCCTCAGGGCATCAATCACACACTGATGTGACCAAAAACACTATTAGATTAGACTCTGTTATTTCATGCTTCTAATCAAATTAGCTGAGAGACCCTTATTGGTTTAAGTTTGAACTGTTGACATTTAAATGTTTGTTTGCGGTGGATGATATGTTTCGTTTGTGTGATGTATGAGTGTTTGTAACAAAGTGGATGTATTGATTGGGTACAGTGGGGTCATTAAATGAATGATTCACCTAGAAATAAAAATAATAATCACTCTCATGTCATTCCAAACTGATTTGCTGATATGTTTTTCACTAGCTGCCTTTCCATTAGCCTAAAAATTATAGTTGAAAATGGAAAATATAAGGGTGGCACGGTGGCTCATTGGTCAGCAAGAAGGTTGCTGGTTCGAGTCACGGCTGGACCAGTTGGCATTTCTGTGTGGAGTTTGAATGTTTTTCCCGTATTCACGTGGGTTTGCTCCGGGTGCACCGGTTTCCTCCACAGTGTAAAGACCTGCACTATAGGTAAATCGAATAAACTAAATATGCGCGTGTATGAATGAGTGTTTATAGGTGTGAGAATAGAGATCTGAAATAGAAACTAAGCCGAAAGAAAATGAATGAATGAAGTGAAAATATATGCTTTTCATAACTTCCATAAATTGCAAAAAAGTGTGTACAATCAGGAAAAAAAGTGCTCAGCTTAATTGAGTACACCCTATTTTAAAAATTAATATTTTGATAAATTTTTCAGTGAATATAGGCAATGTATTTTGTGCATTTAAACAAACCAGATTTATTAAACAGATATATTTATTAAAATAATAATTTAGTCACCAAACATATTTAGAAATTGAAAGATAATACACTTAAATTCAAGCAAATATTGCAAAAATAAAAAAATTACAACCTACAAAATTTTAACAAAACTTTTCAGTTTTTGCTTCTCTTAATTTTTCCTCATTTAAATTTGTGTTTAATAATTTTTTATAACATAAATGTGGGTGTACTAGATTTTTGACCGTTATTGTTATTTTGTCAGATTATCTCCAGATTTAGCTTCAGTTCTGCCTAATCTAATGTATATGCACAATTATAATATTGTAGCTTCCTATTGAACATATAAATTAATAAAAAAGCGGTTTGGGTGTACACATATATGCTGAGCAATGTATTTAGCTACTGAGAAATTTGCCTAAACAGCTCATCTGGTGAACAGACGCATCATGTGATCATTCTTTGAAGACATAGCTATCCATTAATTTGTAGAAACAGGCTTCATTGTTGATCTCTTTATCCAGAAAAGTCGACAGTTCCACTTTAAAATAGCACACTATTATCTCCCAGAAGCACCTCCTAAGTATAGGCGCTTTCGGTGTCATCTCTTTTGTTTATATATATATATATATATATATATATATATATATATATATATATATGTGTGTGTGTGTGTGTGTGTATGTGTATGTGTATGTGTGTGTGTGTGTGTGTGTGTGTATAAGCAAATTTACTCAATCATTTCTTAAAAATACCTCTTTCTAGGGGTGGCACGGTGGCTCAGTGGCTCAGCACTGTTGCTTCACAGCAAGAAAGTCGCTGGTTTGAGGGTTTGAGTCCCGGCACGGCCTGTTTCATTTCTGCGTGTGTGTTTGCATGTTCTCCCCAAGTTTGCGTGGGTTTCCTTGAGGTGCTGCGGTTTCCCCCACAATCCAAAGACATGCAGTACAGGTGAATTGGGAAAACAAAATTAGCCATAGTGTATATGAGTGTATGTGTGAATGAGAGTGTATGGGAATTACCCAGTACTGGGTTGCAGCTGGAAGAGCATCCGCTGCGTAAAACATATGCTGTAGTTGGCGGTTCATTCTGCTGTGGCAAGCCCTAATAAATCAGAGACTAAGCAGAAGGAAAGGAAATGAACACCTCTTTCTAGTGATTTTCAATAATTTTTTCTCAATAATTTTATCAAATTCTACCATGTGGATGAAATGTGCATAAAAAATGAAGGTTTGAAATGACACGAAGGTGAGAAATTAATCAACAGAATTTTCATTTAATTGGTGAACTATCTCTTTATTACAAAATAAACGCACACTGACTGTGAAAGTGTGCCTAAATACTCGTCAAAATGCAATTTTTAAATTTGAGATTACAGCAGAATTGCTAAAAAGAAACTGGAATATTTTCAGATTTTCACTTTTTCAGAAAAGAACTGACAAAACAAAGTGATGCAATCGTATTTTGTAATATCTACCCCACTACTGTAATTCCCTGGCTAATAAAAAGACCATTTTCTGATCTAGAAGACTGTTCGATTTACAAATGCAGACATACAAAGAATCCAGGGTTTCTGTCTGGGTTTGGCTTGCATATTTATGTCCCACATTATATATATTTAATGTTATAGTTGTGGCCATTCCCCTAAAGCAAGTCTCTGTTCAACCTTAGTGCATATATTGATGTCCTTATGTGTATAGTAGTTTGTTTGACTGACATGCAGTGCTCTCAAGAAAGCTGTTTAATTCATGAGCACACATTCATAGTTCACCAAGTCAGCGAATATATAATAAATAAAGGAAGAGTTCACCCTAATATTAAAATATAGTCCTCACTAAACCATTACTTGCATAACTAGCAGTAGTTCATCCTCAGTTCCGATCCTCAGATTAATGACTGCAGCAAAAAATATGGAAAACCATGCTTTGACAACACAGAAGTACACTTTTAGAAAGAAAAAAAAAAGTACACAGGTTATTTTTGACTATTTTCCAGCGTGTTTGTTCAGATCTGAGAAGCTCTTTGTTCTGGCTGCTCAGGTGCTGTTTCAGCTCTCTGTATTGTTGATTTCAGAGGGCTGGCTTGGCAGACGCCTGTGCATATTTATACACACAAAGTATCTGTGTTAAAGGACAAAAGAAATGCACTTTTTTAGACTCAAGAAAAGACAAAAGTGCCTATAGAATTGCTTCAGCCTTTAATGTTTATAATTGGATGGATGGATGAAAACACTTTTGAACTATTACTCTGTTTAATTAATTAATTAATTAATCTCTTTTTCTCTCCCTCAGGGTATTAGTAGTTTGTTTAGTTCGCTGAAAGTGGTTCGGCTCTTGCGTCTTGGCCGAGTGGCTCGCAAACTGGATCACTACATCGAGTATGGAGCGGCGGTTTTGGTTCTGCTGGTTTGTGTGTTTGGGTTGGCGGCCCATTGGCTGGCCTGCATCTGGTACAGCATTGGAGACTATGAGGTCATTGATGAGGATCGTAACACAGTGCGTACGGACAGCTGGCTTTATATGCTTGCTGAGAGCATCGGGACACCCTACCGCTTCAATGCAAGCGGGACGGGAAGATGGGAAGGTGGACCCACTAAAGATACAGTCTACATCACGTCTCTGTACTTCACCATGACCAGCCTGACCAGTATTGGCTTTGGGAACATCGCTCCAACCACAGATGGGGAGAAGATCTTCGCCGTGGCCATGATGATGATCGGATGTGAGTTGAAAAGCTTTATGTACTTATAAACATCTGAGTGAAAATTACAGTGTTTTTCATATAGAAACAAGTTGTTGTTGCACATATAAGCATTTTGGGTTCAGTTGTACAGAATATCAAGCAATGCAGTGCTAAATTGAACTTGAAGTTCAGGGTTCAAGGAATAGAGTTGTCTCTACTCTAGTCCGGGAGACTTGGGATGTCTGAATATCACGTTTAACAACTGTAGTGAGATGCGATCCCGCTGTACATCCTGGATAAACTGTCCGACGTGCACTGCTCTCTGGAGCTCAGAGTAGCACATAACAGTGTGGGGCTGTGTGTGTGTGGCTGTGTCATTGTGTGGTCACGTGATGCGAGCAGACACAAAGCGTGTGCTTGTAGGGGCATGAAGCTTTTTCTGGTCACGTAAAGCCGATCCACGAATCACAGCAAATTACGTTAGCTGACCAATCAGAACCTCTTAAGAGCGGCCCTTCAGAGGAACTAGGAAACATGACAGTGGTTTTCATGTTAGCTGAGTAGGTGTATATAATCAAAGTAAGACATATGTAAAAATAACGTGATTTTTTACAAATGAAGCATGAGTACACATTGCTATGCATCCTATAAACACAACCAAGCCTTAAAAATACACTCTGGACCGCCTCTTTAAGTTAACTTAAAGAGTGGCTTAAAATGCAACATTCAAAGCATAAAAAGCAGAAATAAATGAATACTGTACATTTCCCCTATTAGCAAATATTAATGTATGCAAAAGGAACAGATGCCATACATAAAAGCAGATGCGTTTTACAGTAAATTGCCATCAACAATCACTACATTTCTGAGTGATTCTCCAGAACACAGATGTAAACTTCGCTATAGTTGGAGCTCTGATTGGGACCTGGCGGTTCTTAAAGACTGAAATAAGGTGGCAGGTGCTCTGTATGGATCATGCGAGCAAAATTTTACAGTTCTTGTAAATATCTCTTTGTTTGTTTTCTTGGCATGTGGTCTAAATATTCATAGCTGGAAACAGATGGAAATCTGACCAGCTTGTGCTGTGTTCCAAGGTAGATTCCAGTGTAAGCTGCCATTACGACCCATTGTTTTGCCTGCCAGGTCTCTGTACAGGTCATGTGACTGAAAACTAACTACTTTGCGGTAGCAAAACCTTCATAGCACACACACCTCAGCCGATCCCGAGTTGTGAACAACACACCAACACCACACTGACAGCTACAGCACTCTCTGCACATGAAGGATGATGATCTAATTCTAAACACAACTGAACTAAAGCTGGTGCTTTCTAACAATCACCAAAATAAACGAACAAGAATTATATCGAAAAGATTACTTAACTACTCAGTCTAATTGTAGATACAGCTATATCTTTTAAATGCAATCCTCCTGTGAATCCAGTTTAGTTTCGCCTGAGGTTTTAAAAGCAGTATGGCTAACACATACAGCACACACAGCACTGCAAAAATGCATTTCTTATTTAGATTTTTTGTCTTGTTTCTAGTCCAAATATCTAAAAAATTCTTAAATCAAGAAGCATTTTCTAGACAAACAAAAAATATTGTCTTGTTTTATGAAATAATATGCCAAAATTAAGTGTATTTTTCCTCAAAACAAGCAAAATGGGGTAAGCAAAATAATTGTATGTCAAAATGAAAAACAGGATTATTTTGCTGACCTCTTTGTCAGTTTATTTTGCTTGTTTTAAAGAAAAACACCTAAAGAAAAATCAGGATTGTTTTAAAGAAAAATCAGGATTTGTGGGATCTTATTCCTTAAAATAACACAATATGTTTTCTTATCTAGAATATGTTTCTTGATTTTGTATTTTTTAGATATCTGGTCAAGAAACAAGACAACATTTAGCAAAGAAAAGCATTTTTTGCACTGAAGTATGTTTTTGCCCACTCTTTCTGGGACATTACTCTTTCATGATGTTTTATTTACTAAGTTAGGGAGGAGCATGTTCAGATAATTAGCTTAACTGAACACAGCTGGAGCACACTCAAGCTAATTAACTCCAAGAGGTACAAATGCAATAGACTTACTTTAATCGATTGACCTTCCCTAAGTTATAACCACATTTAGACAAGGGGGTACTCTAATTTCGGGGGTGTATCTGACCTCGGAGCCCTTTCTAGGTCAAATACACATTACTGCTTCTAAATTATAAGTAAGTCCAAACTTGTGAAATATGTGTGAAATATATGAAATTAAGGCATTTCTATGTGTTTCCTGTGAGCCACTACATCTGAAGACAGAGCAGGCCACATACCAGAATCCCCTTGTAGTTCAAGAGCAAAAAAAAAATGAAAGTCAGCATCATTAGCCACTTTGAAATCTATTTACAAAAAGGTAGATTCCATAATTTGCTTCGAGGCAGACATGAAAACACTTGTGCTGCATCTGAAATCGCATATTTCCATACTATATAGTACATTGAATTTGAAAAACAGTATGTGAGAAATGAGGCTACAACTTCCGGTGAGAATCTGAAGTGCGCATTGGATGGATGCTACGCTATCCCATGATGCACCATTAGACAATTCATTAATGGGTGTGAATTGACGCAACTGACTTTAGATGTAGTCGGCAGATGTACGCTCAAGTTCCATTCAAACTGCTGACATTCATACTGTATACATACTTTTCCAACAGCCGGGTAGTACGTTTAAATTCAAATACAGTACCGAGTAGTAGGGGATTTTGGACGCAACTACTGCATGGCCTCTACAACAGTTATGAACACAGGATAAAGATTTTATGTTCCAATAAGAATGGTCACACTGGCTTAGGTTTGGGCCACTGGACATATATGCTATATCTCTACATTATTTAATAATTTATATGAATTTTATACTTTGAAAAATGAAGCAAACTAAAAAAAAACGTTTTAATTTCCCTTTTTATTTATTTTTATTTATATTTAATCATTTAGCAGACTTCAAAAGCAACTTGCAAAATGAGGACAATTGAAGCAATTAATCTGGGAAACCCAAATGAGACTAGCAAACCTAATTTTATTGCATTAACATATATCATTTTTAATTATCAACCAAAATGCATGAAGTATCTCGTTAAGTTTTTAAACATAATTTATCATGAATTTAATTACAATTTATTTTTCTTTTATCAATTATTTAACTTTACTTTTAGATGTTATTTTTAGCTTATATTATTTTTCTGCTTCTTCTTTTTGATTATTGGCAACATTTAAACTGAAAATGATTTGAGTAACTAACCTACACCAAAGTCCCTTTAAGGCAAGTCATTTCCCTTGTTGGCCATCTTTGAAACGCCTCTCCGGCTCAGGCATTCTGTCTGAATGGGAAAATATCAAATTCTCCAAAATTGATTGCCAAGTTTACAATTAAATTTCATATTAGAAATCAACAATAAACAACAACTGTCTCATAAGTTTTGTCTCCAAACGATTGAGTCACACAAAATCTGCAGAAGTTCACATCTAGTACCAGTCCCTTCCCCAAAAATCGTCAATCTATAGCGATCGCTGATTGGTTCTTGTACTAGAGGGCGGGGCTTCATTTGCCATATTGACCGTTAAACTTTTTCCCATTTAAAACTATACGAGTGACATTCTTGTGTATTCTATAGTCTTTGCCTATACTGTAGCTTTCGATGTTGAAATGTTTGAAAAGTAACAGTTGACATATTATATATACATATTATATATATATTGTCTGTGTTTGTGCTGTACAGATGTAATTCTCTCTAAATAATTTCTTAAACAATAACCTCAACTTCCTAAAATGCCAATAAAAGTCTCTTTGTTAATCTGCTGTGTTAAATTTTTAACATCAAAATCGACAGAGCAGAGATAAAACTCCCATAATGCAATTCACAATTGTAAAAAAACAGAAAACAGCATGTGAGACACAAAATACGAAGATTGTTAATTAACGGATATTTTTACAGTGTAGTGTTAAACAGTCAAAGTTCTTACTGTAAAATTGTAAATGCAAAAACTCAATAAATAAATTTTTTTTTTAAATCTTACTGTACGTTAATGGTTAATTATATATAGTGTTAACATTCATAGTGAAGAAATAAATTAAATTATATTTTTGGAATTCATTTAATATAAATACACCCATATAAAATATTCAACTACCATTCACAGAGATTCAGATTTTTTTTTGTCATATATACTTGAAAGATTAAGCTGAACAAACATTTTCTACTACTTGCTGGCTTATTTCATGCTGTCATTATAGATTGAATCTTCACTGTTATTTTAATTAATTGTCATGTGATGATGCTCGACTCTCATTTTACCCCTAAATGGTGCCACAATTTTTGGGAATTGGGATATATGTTACTGAGTGTCTGTGAGAACCTTTTTTTTGTTTTAGTTTTAGTAGTTGTAATGCATCATTTTGATTTCAAGGCTGATATTTCAGCATTATGATTTTAGCTTGGCACTGGGAAAAAATTCTTGCATCATATTTTCTAACACGAAATGATGCATTTCTCTTCCTATTACCATATTAAATCAGTATTGATTACTTTCTTAGCATTTTTGCTGACTGAGACTTTTCAATTGGTTGTGTTAGCGAATAGGGATTTGTTACGGTGACAGATGGGAGAAATAATGGAGCATTGACTGTAAAGATGATGCCTGTAGGGTCATCCACAATGGGCCGCTCACAGATTACACTGCCATTGAGCTGTGATTCACCACTCACAGAAAAATGACTCGCTTCCATTATATGTGCTATTAAACATGACCAGCTGCCAGCACGCTGTTATTTATATGGTGAAACTCCCTCGTGAGAGGCAGATAATCAGAGTAAACATACAGAGATGCTTTCTGAGCAAATAATTATACGAAGCATCATTAGGATCAGTAACTAAATTAAAAGAAGGTGTTTGTTAGATATTACTACAAATTAGAGATTAAACAACTAAGGTGAAATGTAACAAAAAATTTTATAAATTTTTGACATTAAATTTAGTTATGTGCACATTGCATGAGA